GGCACCGTAGGGAGTTCCACCGAAGGCCCCAGTGGCAGGATTCGCATGGCACCGCCGCTTCCACTTCGGCGCACCCCTTACACGTTCGCGGCATCGTAGGGAACTCCGCCGAAAACCCTACTGGCAAGGTTCGCGTGGCATCGCCGCCGCCATTGCGGCGCACACTACACACGATTCGCAATCCCATATGGAGCTCCACCGAAGGCCCCAATGGCAAGGTTCGCGTGGCACCACCTCCGCCATTTCGGCGCACCCCTTGCATGTTTCGTGGCCCCATAGGGGGCTCCGCCAGAGGCCCCACTGGCATGGTTCGCATGGCACCGCCGCCCCCATGTCTGCACACCCCCATACACGTTTCGTGGCACCACAGGGAGCCCCGCCGAAGGCCCCAGTGGCAGGGTTCGCGTGGCACCGCCGCCTCCATTGCGGCGCACACCTCACACGCTTCGCAACCCCATAGGGAGCTCCACCGAAGGCCCCAATGGCAAGGTTCGCATGGCACCGCCGCCACCATTTCGGCACACCCCTTGCATGTTTCGCGTGCCCATAGAGAATTCCACCGATGGCCCACTGGCAGGGTTCCCATGGCACCGCCGCCCCCATGTCTGCACACCCCCATGCACGTTTCGCGGTACCACAGGGAGCCCCGCCGAAGGCCCCAGTGGCAGGGTTCGCATGGCAACGCCACTTCCACTTCGGCACATCCCTCACACGTTTCGTGGCCCAAAAGGAAGCTCCACCGAGGGCGATACTCACAACAGCGGCATTCACAACTGCAAATGGCTGGGTCCGTCGCCAAAAGAATTCTCCGGTTGGCCCCGGGCTGCGGGGGAGATGGCTTCCAAAACTGCCAATGTGGCTTCCAAAATTGCCAAAGCTATCCCGACAGAGCCGAAGATAGCCGCACGATGCCCCCAAATCCGGCTAAGAAACCACCAAGACGGCCCAAGGTAGCCTCAAAATGACCCAAGACGCCCTGCGAGGCCCCCAAGAAGCATGCGCGACGGCCCAGGAAGCCCCCAAGAGGTCCCCAAAAAAGGCCGGGGGAAAAAACAGCACCACTGACTTTTTTCGCAACCCTCCTTGGTTGGGTATTCGTTTTGAATAGAGCAATGTGGTCTCCACTCCTGTCTTCCCGTCCTGCCTCCCTCTTGCCTCCTCCTGTCTTGCCTGCGGGGGGCTGCGATCTGTGAAACTGTCGCCACTTTCGAGGCCTGCTGGGGGGCCCAGCACAGTGACGCCACGGGCGGATTCAAATTAGACCTCGCCATCCCTGGGGGGCTGCGATCTGTGAAACTGTCGCCACTTTCGAGGCCTGCTGGGGGGCCCAGCACAGTGACGCCACGGGCGGACCCAAATTAGACCTCGCCATCCCTGGGGGGCTGCGATCTGTGAAACTGTCGCCACTTTCGAGGCCTGCTGGGGGGCCCAGCACAGTGACGCCACGGGCGGACCCAAATTAGACCTCGCCATCCCTGGGGGGCTGCGATCTGTGAAACTGTCGCCACTTTCGAGGCCTGCTGGGGGGCCCAGCACAGTGACGCCACGGGCGGATTCAAATTAGACCTCGCCATCCCTGGGGGGCTGCGATCTGTGAAACTGTCGCCACTTTCGAGGCCTGCTGGGGGGCCCAGCACAGTGACGCCACGGGCGGATTCAAATTAGACCTCGCCATCCCTGGGGGGCTGCGATCTGTGAAACTGTCGCCACTTTCGAGGCCTGCTGGGGGGCCCAGCACAGTGGGCCACGGGCGGATTCAAATTAGACCTCGCCATCCCTGGGGGGCTGCGATCTGTGAAACTGTCGCCACTTTCGAGGCCTGCTGGGGGGCCCAGCACAGTGACGCCACGGGCGGATTCAAATTAGACCTCGCCATCCCTGGGGGGCTGCGATCTGTGAAACTGTCGCCACTTTCGAGGCCTGCTGGGGGGCCCAGCACAGTGACGCCACGGGCGGATTCAAATTAGACCTCGCCATCCCTGGGGGGCTGCGATCTGTGAAACTGTCGCCACTTTCGAGGCCTGCTGGGGGGCCCAGCACAGTGACGCCACGGGCGGATTCAAATTAGACCTCGCCATCCCTGGGGGGCTGCGATCTGTGAAACTGTCGCCACTTTCGAGGCCTGCTGGGGGCCCAGCACAATGACGCCACTGGCGGATTCAACTTAGACCTCGCCATCCCTGGGGGGGCTGCGATCTGCGAAACGGTCGCCACTTTCGAGCCTGCTGGGGGGCCCAGCACAGTCACGCCACGGGCGGATTCAAATTAGACCTCGCCATCCCTGGGGGGCTGCGACCTGTGAAACTGCCACCACTTTCGATGCCTGCTGGAGGGTCCTGCGGGGTGAGGCGCCGCGCGGACCTGGGCGGGACCTCGCCGTCCCTGGGGGGCTGCGATCTGCGAAACGGTCGCCACTTTCGAGGGCTGCTGGTGGTTCCTGCGGAGTGAGGCACCGCGCGGACCTGAGCGGGACCTCGCAGTCCCTGGGGGGCTGCGATCTGTGAAACTGTCGCCGCTTTCGAGGCCTGCTGGGGGGTCCTGCGGGGTGAGGCACCGCGCGGACCTGAGCGGGACCTCGCCGTCCCTTGGGGGGCTGCGATCTGCGAAACGGTCGCCACTTTCGAAGGCTGCTGGTGGGCCCTGCGGGTGAGGCACCGCGCGGACCTGAGCGGGACCTCGCCGTCCCTGGGGGGCTGCGATCTGCGAAACCGTCGCCACTTTCGAGGGTTGCTGGTGGGTCCTGCGGGTGAGGCACCGCGCGGACCTGAGCGGGACCTCGCCGTCCCTGGGGGGCTGCGATCTGCGAAACGGTCGCCACTTTCGAGGGCTGCTGGTGGGTCCTGCAAAGTGGGCACCGCGCGGACCTGAGCGGGACCTCGCCGTCCCTGGGGGGCTGCGATCTGCGAAACTGTCGCCACTTTCGAGGCCTGCTGGTGGGTCCTGCGGAGCGAGGCACCGCGCGGACCTAAGCGGGACCTCGCCGTCCCTTGGGGGCTGCGATCTGTGAAACTGTCGCCGCTTTCGAGGGCTGCTGGTGGGTCCTGCGGAATGAGGCACCGCGCGGACCTGAGCGAGACCTCGCCGTCCCTGGGGGGCTGCGATCTGCGAAACTGTCGCCACTTTCGAGGGCTGCTGGTGGGTCCTGCGGGGTGAAGTATCGCGCGGACCTGGGCGGGACCTCGCCGTCCTTGGGGGGGGCTGCGATCTGCGAAACGGTCGCCACCTTCGAGGGTTGCTGGTGGTTCCTGCGGAATGAGGCACCGCGCGGATCTGAGCGGGACCTCGCCGTCCCTGGGGGGCTGCGATCTGCGAAATTGTCGCCACTTTCGAGGGCTGCTGGTGGGTCCTGCGGAGCGAGGCACCGCGCGGATCTGAGCGGGACCTCGCCGTCCCTGGGGGGTTGCGATCTGCGAAGTTGTCGCAACTTTCGAGGGCTGCTGGTGGGTCCAGCGGAGCGAGGCACCAGGCAGATCTGAGCGGGACATCGCAATCCCTGGGGGTTGCGAGCCTCACGAATGCCGCTTGCAGAAGTATATGCGCCCATGTCACGTCATCACCTCCGTATAACGTCTCCCAAGCTACTCATGCCCGGCATTGCGCAGGGGTTGGGTACGTCGCCAGGGTAATTTGCTATATGATGTTGGCAGTAGCATAGTTTCGGCCTCCCGACGGCCCGAAATGGCCCAAGAGGTCCCCAACATCGCCCCAAGATCGTTCAAACGGGCCTCCATGGTGGCCCCATGACAGCCCAAGAGGCCCCCAAGACGGCCCCAAGAGGTCCGCGGGATCAGTGTCTTTCAATGCCCAGCTTTCCTAAATCCATTCGCTCTCTCTGCATATCCCTGCCCCCTCCCTCCTGCAGCAGCAGCGAGCACGGTTTGCGATGGCGGGCGGGGTCCGGATTCTGGCCGCGTCGCGGGTTTTCCAGCCCGTCTGACACCGTCAGAAGCCGTTTGGGGAACCTGGCTGGGCCGTCTTGGAGCTCTCTTGGGGCGCTTCAGAGCCGTCTTGGAAACGATTTTCAGCGTTTGGGAAGTTGTTGGTGCCCTCTTGGGGGCCTTCCCCGTACGTGGCGCTATGGCGGAGCGTCGAGACAGGGAGGGGGGGGGATGAGGAATGCGAGGATGAGCGGGGGAGATGGGAAAATAAGAGATTCACGAGGATGCATAACAGTTATTTTCGATGGGGGGCTAAGAAGGAAAAGAGAAGACGGGGGGGAAACGAAGGAGGATGAGAATGAGGAGGATGAGGACGACGAAGCCAAGGACGAAAAGAAGACGAGAACGAGGATAATGACGGGAGAAGCAGGAAGGGGAGGAGGAGGAGGAGGAGGAGAGATGAGGGGGGTGATGATGGGCACGGGGGGGGGATGACCAGCAGCAACAGCAACATCAACTGAAATAGCAGAGGGGGCAAGCGGAGGAAGGATGACCGTGATGCACTCTGCACGACGTGGAAGCACAAGGGGCCCGCCGGCGTCGCTACCCAAGGTTATTCGACAACCACTCCGAAGCACGCGCAGCTTACATTTTCGCTTCAAAATTCAAAAACTGTTTTTTGTGCACATGCGGCTCGCATATTCCGCCGAGAACTTTGGAAATCCACCCAGGATTCGATGCTGAGGCTTTGCAGCCTGAAATTTACGTTGCATCCTGTCAGGCCTCCCTGCCTTTGTTCACCCCGCCTCAACCCCGGCCAACTCTATTTGGCGTCCTTGAGATTGGATTGCCGGGTCTTGCAAACAGAATTCCCCTTAATTTGGGTTGAGCGCCCGCGAGGCGGATGGCGAGCGGGAGGCGATGGGGATAATTGACGGTGGCACGTGTATGACCCTGGTGGGTATAAATCGCAGTCGGTGAAAATTCAGTCTCGGTCTTCCTACGTTTCTGTAGCAGGGCGAGCGCCCTTGAGATATTGATTTCGCATAGAGCTTTGCATTGTCGACGGGCCGGTTCCCCATCCTCGTCCCGCTCCTGGTCCCCGCTCGAAAGCGCAACCGCCGTGTGCGTGGCTGGCCACACGAACGTCGGGCCCATGTCCGGCTCGACGTCCTTTGGGGATAGGAGGGGGCTCGTCTTCCATCCTCCTGCTCCTGCCCTCCTAATCTTCCTCCTGCTCTAGCGTGTTCATCCTCTTGCCCCGCCGCCTCCGCTTTCATCTTCTCCTCATTCTCCGTCTCTACACGCACTTCCCTACAAATCCTCCTCATCCTCGTCTGTTTCGTCTCCTCCTCCTGCTCGTCGTCCACACGCTCCACCCCTCGTCATCGCTATGTAATGCCGCTCACGGGGGCAGAACCATTGTAAGCTGCTTGCATCTGGTCTGAGAGCCGAAAGATGAGGAGGCGGAGGAGGAAGGAGAAGGAGGAGGACGACGACGACGATCGACAATAACGTCTGCACCAGCCGGACAAGGGGGAGTCTGAGGAGAGGGAATAGAGGAGGGGGAGAAGGTGGATGGGCAACCTTCCATTCTTTCCGCTGCTACACAGCAGCAGCAACAACATCAGAACACGCAGGACAAAGTTAAACACAAGAGGAGGAGGAGGAGGAGGTAGAGAAGAGGTGGAGCGGTTGATGTCCATGAGACCAAAGCCGAATGGCTACGCACGTAGCACCGCAGGCCGCTGGAGAAGGATAATAAAATAAACATGAAGACCGAACGGGCCCCCTGGCGCACCGCAGCCCGAACAAACCCGCGGAAGAGAAACGCGAACCCCGCGAGCTGCACTGACGCTCCTGGAGGTCGACGCTCAGACGTTCCCCTCCTTCTCCGCCTCCTCCTCCTCCTCATTCTCATCCTCCTCCTCCTCCTCCTCCTCCTCCTCCTCATCCTCATCCTCATCCTCATCATCATCATCATCGTTTCACCTGACGTCTCATCACTGTTCAGCAGGCTCGTCTGAAAAAATCCAAAACCTGTACGCGCATCGAGGGCGGTCAACTTTCACAAGGGGCTCTCGCCCAAGTTTCGCACGAATTGGCATTTAAACATCAAGCGGCTAATGGCGGGCGGTCCCCGCTGGAAGGCGGTTCCTTCTCACAGTGGGGCTGTCGCTGGAGACCTCTCTGAACCGTGCTCCCCCGCCTTGCCGCATTCCCTAAAGCTCGAAGGATGGGGGGCAACTCCCTTTCAAAACGGAGCTCTCGCCTGATGTGTATGCCACCGGGCCATCGGGGGCCTGTCTTTCAAGGGGGCGCGTCGCCCACCGTAATGAAACACAACGCTTGTGAGGACTCATGAGGCGGGGGCTTGGGACAGGAAGGCGTGTCTTGCAACAGCGTTGATACGTCTTGGGTGCACTCTTGTCGTTTCCCTCCTCCTCATCACCACCACCACCTAGTATCCTCGCAATCACCATCAGCATCAATATCAACATCATCGTCACCGCCATCCTTTATCATCACCATCTCCTTCATCATGATCATCATCATCCTCATCCTCCTCATACTCATCAAAACCATCATCATAACCATCATCATCCACGACATCATCATCATCATCATCATCATCATCATCATCATCATCAGCGTCATCACCATCATCATCAGCATCAACATCATCATCACTATCATCATTCTCAACATCATCATCATACTCATCATGATTACCAAACCCGCAACAACCGCACGGCCACTCCTGAAGCGCCACCAGCGCCGTGAATATCAGCGCCGTGTCGGTGGCTACGGCGCGCACTACCTATGCACTCTTCCCAAAGGGCAGCGAGGGCAGCGCGCAGACTTGGATTGGAGCGGTTGGTAGGCAGGAGGAGGAGGAGGAGGAGGATTCCCCAGCTCGCTGTAGGCTCAAAGACAGAACCTAAGCCAATATTCTGGGATAGGGCATAGGGCCATCATCGGCGAAGTACTGGAGACTCTGGGGCATCTTGCGGGAAATCCATGGCGCCAGAACCCAGTAGTTGTCCGACAACGGGCCACTTCGTTAAAATAAGTGGGATCGCTGTAACCTAATGCCAGTGCCCATGATGGAACTAGTCCACGGAGGTGATGTCACTGGCCGTGGTGGAGCGAGTCCACGGGGAGGATGTGTATCCAAATGCCTGTGTGAAGTTGCGACCATGCCTTAAAAAGCCCTGGGTTTCACACTCACCAGTAGGGTTTCGATTGAGATGGCGATTCCAGATTCTTTGGCTCTGGAACTCCTGACCTCTCAGGGCCTCCGCCGTTCCCATTTGGTCGCCCGACTATCCGTGCTATGCTCGCAAGCGGTGCAAAGCAAGATAACCCTATGCGCCCTCTCAAAACCCCGGGGGCAAGACCACGCTCCGGCCACGGCCCTCGGAGCGCAATGCGCGTTTGTCTTCGGGTTCCTGCGGGTGTCTTGTCTCAGGAGGCCTGAATTCAAAGTGCGCGGGAAGTATGCATTGGACCCCCCACCAACTTTTCAGGCTTGGCGCCATGTCGCCGTGCAAGGGGGGGTGAAATCAAACATTTGGTGGCTTCGTAGGGCCCGTACCCGAACAGCCCCCCTGGCTTGTGGCGCCCCGGTGACGCACCCCAGCAGCAAGAGGGGCAGGCCGATGGGAGGGAGGGACCGCCCCCTGGCCTGTAGCTCCACCCTTCAAAACCTGAAGGGAGGCCCTGCCCCCGTGGAAGCTGGGGCAGCCGCGATCGGGCGGGGTTGGGAGGGGCCACGCTACGCTCTGGCCCACGAGCACGAGCTTCGTCCACCCCCCGAGAGGGAAGAGAGGAAAAGGGTCGCGATTCCAATTCGACGCCAATCGCAAACCGAAGCCTGCAAACATCCCCGGGGGAAAACAACGCCCTTTATCACCAGACGGGTAGTCTTATGTTTGTATGCATCATACAACAAGAGCGAGAGAGAGAGAGAGAGAGAGAGCCAGAGATAATGAGAGAAAAATAGAAAGAGAGAGCGAGAGGGAGGCAAAACAATTAGCCTGGCGAAGGACCCAACCATATGCAGTTGTGAGTAATGCTGGTGTGAGCACCGTCTTCGGTGGATCTCCCTATGGGGCCACGAAACGTGTGAGGGGTGTGCCGAAATGGGTGGTGGGGAGGCATGCGAACCCTGCCATTGGGGCCTTCGGTGGAGCTCCCTAAGGGGCCACGAAATGTGTGAGGGGTGCACCGAAGTTGGTGTGGGGGCGGCATGCGAACGCAGCCACTGGGGCCTTCGGTGGAGTTCCCTGTGGGGCCACGAAACGTGTGAGGGGTGTGCCGAAATTTGTGGTGGGGAGGCATGCGAACGCAGCCACTGGGGCCTTCGGTGGAGCTCCCTATGGGGCCACGAAACGTGTGAGGGGTGTGCCGAAATGGTGGTGGGGAGGCATGCGAACGCAGCCACTGGGGCCTTCGGTGGAGCTCCCTATGGGGCCACGAAACGTGTGAGGGGTGTGCCGAAATGGGTGGTGGGGAGGCATGCGAACGCAGCCACTGGGGCCTTCGGTGGAGCTCCCTATGGGGCCACGAAACGTGTGAGGGGTGTGCCGAAATGGGTGTGGGGAGGCATGCGAACGCAGCCACTGGGGCCTTCGGTGGAGCTCCCTATGGGGCCACGAAACGTGTGAGGGGTGTGCCCGCAGAGGGGTGGGCTCCCTATGGGGCCACGAAGCGTGTGAGGGGTGTGCCGAAAGGCATGCGAACGCAGCCACTGGGGCCTTCGGTGGAGCTCCCTATGGGGCCACGAACGTGTGAGGGGTGTGCCGCATGCGTGGGCCTTCGGTGGAGCTCCCTATGGGGCCACGAAAGGGGTGTGCCGAAATTGGTGGTGGGGAGGCATGCGAACGCAGCCACTGGGGCCTTCGGTGGAGCTCCCTATGGGGCCACGAAACGTGTGAGGGGTGTGCCGGTGGGGAGGCATGCTCCCTATGGGGCCACGAAACGTGCGAGGGGTGTGCCGAAATGGGTGGTGGGGAGGCATGCGAACGCAGCCACTGGGGCCTTCGGTGGAGCTCCCTATGGGGCCACGAAACGTGTGAGGGGTGTGCCGAATGGGTGGTGGGGAGGCATGCGAACGCAGCCACTGGGGCCTTCGGTGGAGCTGCCCATGGGGCCACGAAGCGTGTGAGGGGTGTGCCGAAATGGGTGGTGGGGGGGCATGCGAACGCAGCCACTGGGGCCTTCGGTGGAGCTGCCCATGGGGCCACGAAGCGTGCGAGGGGTGTGCCGAAATGGGCGGCGGGGAGGCATGCGAACGCAGGAGGGAGGAGGGCGAGGAGAAGGAGGGAGGAGGAGGAGAAGGAGGAACGCGGGGACCGTTTCTTCAAAACGAAGACCCAACACCGCAGGATGGTTGGGAATGAGAGAGAGAGAGAGAGAGAGAGAGAGAGAGAGAGAGAGAGAGAGAGACCAAGCGGAGAGGGGAGAGGGAGAGAGATTGTGATGGAGACAGCGATATATAGATATAATATACATATATACATATAAACAGCACATATGATAACTGTTTAGATCCGGCGCCCTCACTGCCAGATCGGCACGCGCCATGCGATTCAGCAAGCGGGGGAGACGCCCGCCTGGCCCAACAAAGCTGGAAGAAAAACAAGCACCGAGCAGAAAACCCACCGCGTGGAATGCAGCAAGATCTGCCGCAAGAGAGGCGCGCATAGGCTCAGAGGTAAAAGCTCTGAGGTCCAAGTTGCCGCAGGCGGCCCTCGAGAGAAAGGGCCACCCCACTGACTAGCCCGAGCCACCCGACAACAGGATTGATGGCGCACTGGATCGGCAACGCCCCCTCGAAACGGAGAGAGGAAACCACCTCCTGCAAAATACTGGCACCAAAGACGGGGCTGCTAGCCCCTGCTGGATGCAAGCGCTCCAGACCGTCAGCAGAAACAAGGGCCGAACCACGCATTCCTGCAACATCGCGAATATTGACTTCACCGTCTGTCTTACGAGATTCGCGTGAACGGCTGTGCACAGCTTGTTCCTTGCAAAATGGGCCTTCCTGGTGGTTTCACCTGGGCACTGCTTAACCAAACCATACATCCTGGCCCCGAACCGTGGTAGCGGCACTTCGTCCACGTGAAGACATGAGAACCAGGACTGCACGCGAACGCAACAACTTCGTGCCCAAGGGCAACCAAGACGCCCTCATCAAGCGTACTGCGACCAAGATAGTTGTCAGGATCAGGCTCCCGGGGCGATTTGCGCACTGAGGCAAACTCTGCAGCTCCACATCCCCAGCCACCAGGCCTAAATTGACTGGCTTTGTCGCGGGTGAGCCCATGGGAAAAATGGGGGCGAGCAACCGAAATATCGACCCGCGGCCAATCCAGCAAAATCTCGGGCGCAAACATGCAAACAACATGGGCAATGGCCACTAGTCGGTCAAGTTCGCCCAAACAAGCTGTCGACCAAGTGCAAGCCCAGCGCCGCCTCGGCAGCAACGTCTGCATCAAACAGAAACTGCCTTTGCAATCCTCCTCTTCCTGATCAGCTATGCCTACTTAGGTTTTGCGCAGCGGCTTCTGCAATGTCCGGCGCGCCAGAGCCTTCCATCACGCTCGTTTCAAGAAGGATCCCGCTGTAGACCCTCTGGCTAGACGCGCGCGCGGTGAGCGGCGACGTGGGCCGCTCGAGTGCACGCAAACAGTCGCGCTGGCGGGTCGAGAGATGCATGAGTACGTTGCCGCGTGTGCCTGAAACAAAAATTCCGCAGCCTGGGGGGCATGAGAGCGCCGCGCCCAGGCAGGGCCAATAACTTCCCAACATCTCCCGCAGGCCTGTTGCACAGCGATAGCCCACGACGCCCAGTGGAGTTGTTCGGCCGCCCCCCCTTGACAGGCGCCGCCGAGATACACCCCCCCTCAGAGATCGCCCTCGCATGGCTTGAAGAGGCGCACAGGGACCTCATGGGGCCCCTGCGCAACCTGAACTTGACATTGCCGCGCAGGCACGGGCGAGGAAGGTTGCCAGAGGGGTGGGCGACGTATCCACGGCAAAAAAATGGCCGAGCGGACGTGCAGGGAGGCCGTGCCCGCGACCTGCGGCGAAGGGAATCGCGACCCCCACGGCGAATGCACGCACATGGGCGAAACACAATATCCCGCCTCAGTGGCGCTGTCTGGGGCCCAGATAGCCTCGCAGGCTAACGCGCGACTGGCCTCGTCTCCCCGGCAGAAGAAGCCTGCGAGGAAAGACCAAAATTAGGCACATCCAGACGCAGTCCGCCTGCCCCCCCCCGCCCGCGGGACTCCCTCGACCGATCGAATGAGAGCTTCGCGGCAACAGTGGCCAGCGGCGCAGGCGACGGGGCGCGCGAGGGAGCCTCATGATTCCTGTCGGATCCACATCCTTCTCGGGCAACGTGAGCCATGGCGCGGATATGGGGCCCGCCGAGGCGCCCCGCGCGAGCCTCGGGGGGGCCCGAAAAATAAGCCCCGCGCCCCTGAGCTCTGGATCCCCCGAACAGCAAGTAAAGAAACGAACGGCCGCGAACCGCGCTACCTCGCCCTACCTCGCGGTCGCAAATATCGCCGCTCTCCAGGTGATAGCATGAGACAAAGCGCGGCAAACGGTGACGCTGCGGCACTGGGCAAACGGGCTTACCTGAGCAAGCGCCTGTCTCCTCATCTCAAGCAAATCGCCATCGCATGCCCTTGTAATTTCAGCGCCGCATGCTCCCCAAGCCAACGGGCCCGCCGCGAAAATCCCAAGGTTTTTTCTCTCGAGGGTGCCATGGGGCCACTTCAAGCGACTAGCTCGGCGGACCTTATG